TCAAAGTACCTGTCATCTTCTCCAACCAATAGTTATTTATGATTTCTGTATTTCTGCTAAATGAAGTGACCATTATCTTAGTTACCCAAGACTAAAATCCATTGCACTTCTTTTCTTGAAAATTACCACCCTTGCATGTTTCAATAAAAGAGACTCATAACTGCTTGTCCCCACGTCTGTCCTTGTTCTAACCACTTTCATCCTCCACCTTCCTGCTAGACTGTCAGTCTTTCCCGTTTGCCCAAACACTTCTGTGGTTTCCCAGTGCCTGCTCACACGAAGTCCAAATCCTATCCGTGTTGTAGATAAGAGTGACTATTTCTGTATCGATCGTTTTTCTTTTAGAATTTAGGGTTTGTTTTTTTTTCCTCAAAGTTTCCCCTTCCTTTCCCATTTATCATGGATGTAGTTTGTCTGCTTCTCAGAGTCACGCAACAGGTTTTATGATAGCTCTGTAGGAGCCTGAAACCAAAAATGATCTGAGGTCTGCTCAAGGTCACGAAGCAATGACAGTCTATTTGTGAATGAATCCTATTCCTGAGCACTTAAAATTAATACTAGCCCTGCCATCAAACCATCACAGTCAAGCGAGGCATTAGGCCTTGTGCGTGGGTACACGTATGCATGTACGGGTGGACACGTATGTACATACGAGTGTGCGCATGGCCTGTGTGTGCCCGGTGTGCTTAAGGAAAGAATCCTGTAGAAGAGCCATCCTAATCCAAGGGAACAAAGGAAATTTTTTTCCTTTTAAATACAGTTTTTCATTTTAATGCCACCATGCCTTCCATCTTTTCTTGTTTATTTTTATGCATTATTGGATAAATTAGGAAACTTCTGTTGTTTAATAGGAAGGAACTTTAGATGGGCAAGCCTAAAATAGAGGCAAGTAGCAAGGGCTTTGAAGCTAAACAGACCTTGGTTTGAACCTCAGATCTTCACTTACAAGCTCAGGCTCTCAGCCTCAGTTTTCTTGTCTGTAAAATGGAGACATTCATGGTTACCTTAGAAGCTTGCTGGGAGCATAAAATGAAATAAAGTGTGCTTTCTCTTTTAACCTGTTTGTTCTTATGTTAAATGTTTCCTCTGTATGAATGGTATTTAGATATTCATGCGATGAAAAAGATATTTAAAGTGGCTTCATTTGTCTCTTGTGTGTTCTGGTCCAGCCATGCTGGACGTCACCCCCGTAGCTGAGATTGTATCTAGACACCTGCACTGTTGTGAACACTCTTCCTAGATGTTCCACTATGAGTATTCAATACAAGGAAACAAACAAAAGTAGTGAAGGAAAAAATTTCTTAAGTGAACTGTCTGGAAAATCATACTTACAGTGTAGGTCTACCTTGAGGTGGAGGATTCGTTTGGCTTAGAAGCAATCTTCCAGAAGCTTCCTTGACCCCTTGAGATCAGGTTAGGGTCCCTTCTGCCTATTTTCCTGCAGTCTGTACAGCAAGACAGTAAGATTCTCAGGGGCAAAGAATGTGTCTTACTCATTATTATAGTTTCAGGCCTGGTGCATTATAGGCCCTCAGGACTTGTGTCTTAATGTTTTGGATTATATAAAATAATACTGTTCTTAGTGACTTGGATGGAGATTGAAGTATCCATCCAAGATATATGGGTGATATAAAGCAGGCATGACCTTGGAAATCAAAAGTTACATCCTAAGTGGCACAAGAGGAATTGGGAAATGGTCTGAATTTCATAGTGAAAATTAATAACTGATGTGAAGTCTTTGCATAAGGCAAGTAACTCTACAGAGACAAACTAGGGCCACTGTAGCATGCTAAATCCACCATCTTGTGTTTACGTGCTGATTTACACTTTTACACATTCTTACTTGGTCCTCAAAACAGTCTGGTGGGAGGGGAAGAGAGGAGCATTGCCATTTAGCAGCCCAGAAGACTGTGGTTTGGTGCAGTTAGTCACTTAGTCCAGGGGTCACGGCTGGGACGGTGTCAGCATCACACTTGATACGGCATTATTTTAACTGTACACATACCTTTCCAAGTTGTTAAATCTAGTGTTCTAATAACTTACGTTTATGTCCGATTTCTCTGTGTTTGTCTTTACAGCAAGAGTTTGAGTTGGTGGGTGGGCGATCCAATTAATTACTGTTGATTTAGAATGCTGGTATCTCAGGATCAGAAAGAAGCTTTAAAAGGGACAGCTTTTTGTCCAGCAGTTCACCGGAGGCCTGTCTCCTCAGCACGTCAGCGTCTTCTGGTGGCCGCTGGGATCGATGTGTCCGTGATGGGGCTCTTGCTACCTCTTGAGGCAGCCCATTAAGTCTTAAATAGATAAGGATGCTAAAGAAAGTAAGCTAAATCTGATAGGGATCGGAAAAAACTATGTCGGTTTCAGGGGAGCAGTGATGTTCAGCAGGGCTGTGGAAATGAGGAGAAACCCCGGCTCTGAGTTGGGATCCGAGGGTGCAGAGTGTCAGCCGAAGGGAGAGAAGCCCTCGTGGATGGGGTGGCGGCTGGGAACACTCGTTTGGGTTGTGGGGCCTGCGGGTCACCCCTCTCGTCTTGGCTCACCTGCATGGCTCCGGGCATGCTGGAGTGGCTGTGCTTCGTGCTCCCGCTCCCCACGGGAAACTGGCCCCCGTGAGACAGAACAAGTTAGACGTTTCCAGTAATCAGTACACCTTTGACCTCAGACCTGTAAGGTCAAGTTATGGCTCTTAGACTTTGAATCTTTTTTGGAACACGGCTTGGCCTGGGTCGTCATGCCACTCGAGGGTTTGCAAGATAGGATTACCCTGCTGACGTGGCCATGCTAGACCAACTGGACCAACTCCTCCCCCAGGAGGAAAATGCCCCACATGCATGCTTCTCCCACCCTGGCAGTGGACTGCAGCCCTGCTGGCTCTGTGGTGGACACGGCCCTCTCCTCTGAGTGCTGCATGGCCACTTGGAAGATAGCACACTCGGCTTTTCAAGAGCCTGACCTAGTACGAGAGAGAAACTGAGTGTAGTAAGACCTAACATCCAGTGTTAACTGTGGTGCCCGCTGGATGTGGGACATTGAGCCAGCCTGTGTGGGGACCCTCCCTGGTCTAGGCTACCAGGATTGTGTTGCCATGTCATTTCTTTTTTTTTTTTTTAAGATTTTATTTATTTATATGACAGAGAGAGACAGCGAGAACAGGAACACAAGCAGGGGGAGCGGGAGAGGGAGAAGCAGGCTTCCCATGGAACAGGGAGCGCGATGCGGGGCTCGATCCCAGGACCCCGGGATCATGACCTGAGCCGAAGGCAGACGCTTAACGACCGAGCCACCCAGGCGCCCACCATGTCATTTCTTTACTTCTGAGATAACTGTACCCCAAATCTATATTCCCTCTCTCATACACACATGCATGCAGTTGAGCTAGTGAACTCCTAATCATTCTTCCAAACCTAGCTCAGATGTCCCTTTCTCTTATTTGTGCATTCATTCAACAGTTATCTATAAGAGCCTACTGTGTGCTACATGCTGGGGGGGCGGGTAGCCCTGAACAAAACGAGGACCCTGGCCTGGTGGCCTGGCCTCTGTGTTCCCATAGTCCTGTGTTTGTAGTGGGATCACTTTCCCCTGCAGACTCTAGTCCAGTGACTTGCTCTGTTGAATCAAAGAACAAGTGCTCGCCGCTCTGGTCCTTCCATTTCTACGTGAATGACCCAAGTGGTACAACCCCCTGCAAGACCCGTAGCAGGGGCGTCAGGAGGGGCAGAATTGCTCTGGAGAGTTTTCCACCAGTACAGTAACTGCCAGAGCTCGTCAGCCTTCCATGAATTGTGGGGACCTAATGGGAAATTACCACTTCCAAAGTCTGATGCTCTCTCTGTGCTGATGGCCGGGACTTTTGGGGGCCCCTCCCCCATCATCTAGCACGTGATGAAGAGCAGGGAGGCGCCCAGTCAGCAGAATGGCACGGCGGGCCCCAGTAGGGATTGGCACGGGCAGGAAGCACATGTGTCTCCCTTTCACCTGTGCACGGCCCGCAGGCATTTCCCGGCCATTGTTCGTGGGGGCTGCCAGCGCGCTTTCCGCCCTGGCCGCGCGGGGCTGCCTCTGGCCTCCTCCTGCAGCTCTTCCAGGCGCGGCCCATCCCCGAACCGCCGGAAGACACAGGAAAGAAGATTCCCTTGTGTAAAAATAAACATGGCAGCCCCACCTGTTTTTACACATGGGCTCTCAAGTCCCTTCCTTTAGTTCTCGGCAGGTGCTGGGGCCTTAGGACGGTGGCCCCGCGGGAAGGAGGCGCTGTTGAAGTCATATACCCTGCTGGCGTCTGGGATGTGGCCACCCCAGGCTCAGAGAGGGAAAAGCTGCCCCAAGATTTCTTGGGGGAGAAATCTGATTCTTACAGATTTCCCGGGGGAGGGGAGAAGTGTGGGGTCCCCACTGTGGTGCCGTCCAGGGGCTTCCCCCGTGGCCCCTCCTGGGTCAGGGCTCGGCTGCTGACAGGGCCCGCTCGGCCCTCGGAGAGCCAAAGGTAGGGCTACAGGATGGAAGCGCAAAGGGTAATAAGGTAAAGCCGGGCACTGGTCGTTGCTCTTTTTAGAGACTCCCAGGCGTAATTGTGGCTTCCCCCACAATTACACAAAAATAAATCTGTGTTTATTTTGTCCTCTCTGCTTACACCCCTTGTTTTCAGAGGACGGGGGGGGGAGGGAACAGTGGACACTGTTAATCATCTCGTTGCTTAAACACGGTCCCAGACTCTGCTACAAGAGGCTGCCGGCAGAGGGTGGGGCCCCCGGGTTTCCCGCCACGTCCCTCAGGGCCCGTGCCGCGTCCATGGCCACCCTCTTGGGTTGAATGTGATGGAGAATAACTTCAGGCAGAGCGATCCTTGCTTCTTCTTCCCGGCCGATGCGGGCACCGTGCTGTGCGCATAACCGGGCCCTGGTTTTGGTCGGAGTAAAGGCAGCGGGAGGTGTCGGGCGCGGTTCCGGGAGCATCAGTGACTCCTCACAAACCCGCTCTCTGTTGTCCCTTCAGTGTGGGTCCTGCCAGCGCCACGGTCCCAGGGGCTGAGCTTTGATGAAGCCGGGGCATTATGTACAGCGTAGAAGACCTCCTGATTTCTCATGGATACAAGGTGTCGCGAAGTATCCCAGCGCCCGGCGAGGATGAGCGCGAGGGCCACCGGCAAGCGAGGAGCCGCACCAGAGCTGGCCAGGGCCTGCTGAATGGGTGTGACCATGGCCCGGCAGCCCTACCCCCCAGCAAGCCGTCCCAGGGGAAGGGACACGCGAGCACCTCAGAGAATAGCCACCGCGCTCCCAGAGCCCATGGAGAGCCCCAGAGCACTTCTTCTCGAGCTTCTGAGCTGGGGTAAGCGTCCATGTGAACCCACCATTGTCTTTTGTCTTGGGGATTTGGCAGTGGGTACGGAAGTCAGATCCCTCAGTGCCTGTGTTTGGCTGGAGCCGGAGAGGGTGAGAGACAAGGACACTTCTTTCCACTGGGGTATCTGGGGTGTTCAGGCAGCACGGAGCCCAGGGCCTGGCCATAGGAGGCCTTCAGTAAATAGTGGTGAGTAAATGAATCCTATCACGTGAAACACACGACATTCTAATACCCGCCCTCTCTTTTCCCTTACAAGCTGCTCATATTGCCTCAGCTAGGAATCATTTCAAAACTCTGTAAAAGCTAGTTTCTGTCAGGCACACATTCCTAGTCCATTAGGCTTTCTTATTAATAGGTTTCAATCTCGTGTACATTACAGAGTTGAAAGAGGTATATATCGCCCTCCATGTGTGATGAAGAAAACCTTTCTTCTTGTATATGCATATAATTCCACTGGCTCCTTACCCATCTTTCCCTTGCACACACTGGCCCCCATATAGGTGTCCCGTCTGAATACAGCTGTATCTGTGGGTGTTTTCTTACAACCAACCAGAGGGCAGGTTGGCTGGGGGAGGGAGAGCTAAAAAAGAGGGAATTCGGGCAGCTTGCCACAGAGCGAGCATGGGAGAGGAGCCCTGCGACCCCCATGCACACAGTTTGAGGCGAGAGGAAACCCATGTCATCACTTCATAAAAGTGTGTTTGTCCTCAGCACTGCGTTGGCACCAGGCTCAGCCTGGGGGAGGAGGGCTCTGCCGGTGGAGAGCATGTTATGTAATTGTGCGTAACTGACAAGAAATGGACCCACACACAAATGGAAGCAGAAGCCTGTCTTCAAAGGAAACAAACAAGCAGAAAACCAAGCAAACAAAAAGGGGAGTATATTCAGTCTCAGGGAAATGAACCCACCTCCCATGGTTCAAAGTCACCTTTTCACAGAGAGGATCTTCCTTGTTGGTTGGCAGCTTTCAGATGAAAACGGGAGGGATTTTATTCTTAAAATGTACAGCATTCAGCACCTTGGTTATCGAGTGAAAGCGAAGGCGATCAATTGCCCTGCTGGTGCCCGGGGAGGTACGAGCGGGCTGATGCTGCCCCAGGAGCTCTGTTTCTCCGACCACGGATGTGGCAGGGTCAGGAGGAAACCTGGAATGGAAAGAGATTTAAAGCTGCTTTTTTTAACCTTGCCCTTCAGACTCACACTTGTGTCCACTACTGTCTTGGGCGTCAGTCTCTTTTCAGCCATGTGCCCTGAAATACCTGCCCACGCTGGATTTGGGGAGAGGCCGCTTACGCATGAGTCGGCAGAGTTAGGACAGCCCTAATCACACTACGCAGACTTGTGCACGATTCTGTCCTGCCTTCTGTTGCTTCTAGCTTTTGTGCTGAGTGTGTCTGTACCTTCTGTCTCGGATTTCAGGGCACTGAGGCTCTCCACCGTGTCTGTTCCTTCCTGTGTATTTGCTTGTTACAGTGCTGGATACATAGTGTGTCTAACGTGTGCTCATGGATTCAGTTCTTTCTTCCACCGTTGTAACAACTGTTGAGGAGCAGGAGACTCCATTTGTGGCAGTGGAATCCCTGCAGATGGGCGTTGTAGGCTGTGTGGGGTCTCCCTCAGTCTCACAGATCAGAGGAGGGGGCAGTAAAATCCCCTCTAGAATTCGGGGCAGGCCGTGTGGCTCCCAGCCTCATCTACAACCTGCTCAGATGTTCTAGTCCCTTAGTGCTAATAGGCTGTTGAGACCACAAGCACTCACAGCCCAGCCTCTAGGTAGGTAGGCATAATCGGATCTATAGGCAGTCTTTCTTTCTGTCATGAGTAAAGTGCTCATGTAAGTAGCTTTGGGTAGCACTGGGATGTCTTCATACAGATGACAGAGTTCTCAACAGATCCGGCCATTTCCCCCCACCCCCACCCCATTTCTGAGGTTGGCTGATTAACTTATGAGATGTAGGGTAGCTTTTGGATGGAAGGTTGCCTTGGGGAGTAAAAAGAACATGCATACATGTTTGCAAAACTCCATGCCAGTGCCCAGAGCCTCAGAGACCAGCTGCAAGGCTTCCTGGGTTGAATTGAAAAGATGTTTTCTTCCTTTAGTAGCTTATAGAGAACTGGAAACAGGAGGCAAACAGAAAAGCGAACAGAAAGGTAGGCAGGAGAATTTCTTTTCAGGAAAAAAAATGTCTCGAGAGGAAATAAATAGGTGCTAGGAGTTAAAGCCTGGAAATTGAAGAAAAAGAAAACCCAACAGTACTTTGGCTTATGTGAATTCTGAATCGGGATGAATCAGTGGTTCTCTGCCAAGTCCCAGCCTTCCGTCTGCTAGGTCTTGCTTCCTGCCTCTCCCACACAGTAACACTTGGGGCTGGTCTCTGGGTCTGGAGGGGCAGGTGGGGCCCCCAACTCCAAGCCAGCAGACCAGGCTGGCTCAGGAGGGCCTCCTCTTCTGGCAGTGTCTTGGGTGGGGTGAGGTTTGCCCTGGGGCGTGTCCCCACACCGCAGGCCTGGCCTCAGTGCCCACGGCCTCCCCAAAGAAGATGGTCAGAGTGGTTGGGAAGGCCACAGGGGCCCAAAGAAGGTGGGTTTGTCTTATTCTGGTAAGATGGCAGGTTAGCAGTGTCCTTACAGCCGAAGGACATGAAGCCCAGAGCATGTCGTAAGGGCCACTCACTCAGGGCCACAGCGGAGGGACGCCCGGCTTGGGCCTCAGGCCGGGGCTGCCAGGCAGGCTGGTGGCCAGCTCTCCCCACGTGGGGCCTGTCCCCGTTTGAAAGGGGCATGGGATTCTCTGCTGCCGTGTGGGGGACTGTCGTCTCTCACTTCCTTGTCCTCTGCCCTCCCCCTGGCATGCGCGGATGTGCAGTGTCTCTCAGAGCACAGCTGCGTCCCTTTCCTGTCTGGGGCGCTGCATGAGGAATGCATCCTGCCGTACCTAGATGAGACGCGCGTGCGCAATGCTGCCGCTCCGTGTGTGTCGTAAGGGCCGTGTTGTCCCGCGTCGGGGGGCACGCCTCGAACGTCAAGGTAGTCTGGTGAGAATGATGCACTTCGGTCTTTCCTTCAGTAATTAACCTCGGCTTCCAACAGCGTTTCTTATGTAAGGGCTGGTTAGATCCAGTTAAATTGAGAAAGAAAACAAACCTCAAATATGGAGCCTTGACTCGACTTTGCCTGCGATGTCAACCCCCAGCTCGGGATGGGCCCCACGGGCCTCCGCCTCCGCTTCCAAGCCCGAGTCCTGTGCCCTCTCCTGGGCACACCGCTGTGTGCTCTCCGTGCACCAAGCCCTGCCTGGGACGACCCAGAGCCCTCCTCCCTAGCCCCTCCTCCTAGCTCCCACCAGCAGCCCCTCCTATCAGCTTGCCTTCTGGGGGAATGATTCGCTCCGGGGTGTTCTACCAGCACCGTCTCCTGGTCCCCAGGATTGTCCGCTTCCCGAAAGCTGACACCATTGCGAATTCATCTCTGGTTTTGCTAACTCCTATTAAGGAATTTTGCGTTTATTAAACACTCAACACATTTTTTAAAAATAAATTGGATGAAACCTAGTACTTCTATGCCCAGGCAGTTGTGGAAATGCTGAGTATTTCAGAACACTGGGAGAAGACGGGATGGGAAGTAGAGAAGGTTTTTCCAGCGAGAGGACCTGGGCGAGGCTGGTTTGGGAAGGTTCCATTGTGGAAAAGAGGGGCACCGACTTCCCAGGCTGGGCAGCCGAAGAGGCAGTTTTGATGGCTTTGTCCACACCACTACCTCCTGGGGGACGAACAGGGTGGAAGGGAAAGGAAGGAACAGACACGGGACTCAGCAAAAGTCCCAGGAGGCCGAATAGCCTCGGCAGGGAAGTGTCCCTCCTTTGTAGATTCTGTGGGTGCAAGACCCCAGCCCGCTCGAATGACAGGGGCAAGTTGTCATGAGGCTGTAATGGGGAGTCTCGCGGAGCCCACAGGTAGGAAATGAAGACGAGTGGGGCCTCATTGATGTGGGGATGAGAAAGCTGGGACCCAAGATCGGTAGTCAGTCGCCCTCTCTCGGGGTCGTGAGTGGTTCCCCTGGGGGCCTCTCCGCTCTCTGTCCCCCATTGTCCCCTGGCTCTGCATCTCCCGGTGCTTCTGCTCCCTCCTTTGCAGACCAGCCTCTTCCCTTCACTGACAGCCCCTACTGGCTAGTAACTTTGGCTCAGAGTGACTTTTGTTCTGCTCTTGCTTCTACGTGATGGTTTAGCTCAGGAAGCCCCTGATGACCACCACCCATGCCTCTTAAATTTTTGAGAGAAGGACTCAGTAGTTGGGCTTGGGCCTTGGTTAGCACCTCTCAGCCCTGTCCCATCAGCGGGGACAGGGAGCAGGGGCTGGATAGGGGAAGAGAGGGTGGACGGGGAGGAGGGGATGACCAGATGTGGATGTCTGATCTTCACCTGCGCTTGGTAAAGGGGCTGCGGGTGAGGGAGGCGAGTGCTGACCATGCACCCCCAAACATGTGCTCTTTTCACAGGTCATTCATTTAGTAACTCCAGAGACTTGGCATTTCCCCCTTAAGTCAGTTACTCCGGAGAGCTTATCTCGAGGCTAAACCACTCCTAAATGGTCTCGGTTAGCAGATTGTGCTGCTGGAGCTGGCTGCAGGCTTTGCACGAAAGTCACTCACATGGTACAGGAAAAACCTCACGGGCCACATCAGATGTCACTACAGGATCGACAGGTTCATAGCTGGGAAACCACGGGTGTCTTAAAACTGCAGACAGCATTCTATATATCACATGATTTGGTGCTAGATTTTTAGTGTGTCCTCCTCCTTGCTGTATAACCAACAACAGATACTTCTGGAGTGCATCATATGTAACGTCTGTGTCCTCCCTCTGGCAATATGGAAAGGATGTTTCTGAAAGCTTACATTTACATCTGTGTTCAAAGATTATAACGAGAGGTTCATCAGTTTGCATGCAGTTGAGCCATCGATGCACATACTGTGTTGTTCCAAGG